CGATCATAACCCGGATATTGGCTGCATGTAAACGTAGTCAGTCATGTTTCATCTTGTTGTGGAGTTGCTAATTGTTAGCTACTAGCTGAGATGCTAGGGTTGGATGATTTTCCCACCACCAGTCATCAGTCCAATAAATGACTATGGGCGATATATTCGTGCATGTGACGTCATGAACTGTGTTAGCCAATTACAGACCTATCTCTCATCTACCTTACTTATCTGAGCTGCTTGAGAGGGTTGTATATTTACAGTTGGATGCATTTTTAGACACTCACGAACTCTGGGAGATCTTTCAGTCAGGGTTCAGAGCAGGTCACAGTACCGAGACTGCACTTTTAATGGTTCTTAATGATGTTTTTTTAGCTTGTGACGGGGGGATGCTGTCATTCCTTTGATGTTAGATTTGTCTGCGGCCTTTGACACGGTCGATCATGACATACTTTTGGATCGGCTACAACATTGGGCTGGAATTACCGGTGCAGCCCTACAATGGCTACACTCCTACTTATCCGACAGGAGTTTTCGTGTCAGTGTAGGTGAAACCTCCACCTGGGCGGGACTCAAGTGGGGTGTGCCACAGGGGTCTGTGCTGGGTCTGCTTCTTTTTGTCATCTACTTACTACCGTTGGGGAATCTTCTTTGGCGGTTCGGCATGCGTTTTCATTTTTATGCTGACGACTGTCAGATCTACCTCCCCCTTCAGTGGGGGGTCGATATCAAAGCTTGTAGATGTCTTAGAGAATGTGCGCTCCTGGATGGCTACAAACTTTTTACATCTGAATGACGCTAAGACTGAAGTAATTGTACTTAGCCCTGGCATGTCTACACGCCCATGCGATGCTGTGAATCTGGGCCCTTTAGCATCTAACATGAAGACCACTAACCCTAACCCTTGCAAAATTCAAGGTCTTGGTACTGGCATACAAGGCCTTACAAGGAACGGCTCCAGCATATCTTGGCAACCTTTTGCATAGGTATGCTCCTTCGCGGGCCCTTCGCTCAGCCGGCAGGGAGCTGGTGATCATTCCACGCACTAAGTGCAGGTCACGGGTGGACCGTGCGTCGTCGGTGTTGGCACCTGTACTTTGGAAACAGTTGTCTTTGGTGGTGCATCAGTCACCCTCATTGGGGGTTTTTAAGACTCGCCTTAAGACCCATTTTTTTGTCAAGGCATTCCAGGATTAGCTAATTTTCCCCGGTTTCGATGCCCCGGCCCCTTAATCTTTTGCAGGATTTTATTTTTGCTTTTACTCTCCTCTTTTAATTGATTTTATGTTGGTTTTACGATTGTTGTATTTTATTCTGATGTTTTATGTTTTTATTGTGTTGTGTTCAGCACCTTGGGCGTCTGCATTGGTCGCAGAAGGGGCTTTATAATTAAATAAATGAAATGAAATGATACACAAACTGATTTGCAAACACAGAAGAAGTTCAAATACTGACTTTTTTGTTATGTTTTTATGGAACCGCAGCGCACATGTTGGGTAGAGTGATGTATAAACGTCATGGTATTTTATTTAAACAAAAAAAAAACCATATTTTTTTTCAACATGGGCTACTGGGTTTCTTTCTTTTATGGGTTTTGAGTAGGAAATGAAATGAATCACTGCTGCATTTGGATGCACTCTGAATACTATACTGCCCTTAGGAGCCATTTTCAGAAGGCACGCTGTCTCATACCATCTTTACGCTGATGACTGTCAGATCTACTTTTCATTCAAGCCAACTCAATCAATGCAAGTTCTGTCTGATTGTATCGATAATGTTAAGCTTTGGCTTGCTGATAACTTCCTCCATCTGAATGACTCCAAAAC